ATGACCAATTATATTTTTTAATTGACGAAAAATTTTCAAAAGTTCCATACGCAAACTGTAAATATATACAATTTTTAAAAGAATCAACATCAAAACTAAACCTAATACAACCAGTATTGATTCTACATAAATATGCATTTGTCGAATTTGGAAACATGAAAGCGGTTTCTAAATTCCAGAATCTTTGGGAACGGAACTGAATTAAATTGAATTAAGATATCCAAGTTAATTAAAGAATGTCTTTTATTTCGTGTACTTTATATAAGAATATTTATATAGGAAATGCTGGAGTCCTAAGAATTGTCACTTATCGACTATCAACAATCATTTGCAACCGGTTGAATTAGGATAAAGCCGACTATTTTGCATATTGTATGAATTCTAATCGTTGAATTGGATTTGAAAACGATTGAAAGTCGGTTGACGATCCATTAAGAATCGGATATAATTCGATTGTTAATCGATTGAAAAACGGCTGGTAATCAGTTGAAAAACGATTGATAGCTGATTTACAATCGTTTGCCAGGCGTTTTTCAACCGGTTTCAATCGTCTTTTAATCGATTTCCAATCATAAATGTCCCAAAATAATCGATTTCCAAACGTTTAGCAATCGGTTGTATGGCCAATTGTTTTTTTTTCACAAGGGTCGTTGATAAATATGTATCGCAATATTTATTGACATTGAGAAAATATTTTTTTAATAAAAAATAAATTTTTGTTGAGATATCTAAACTTTTGTAAAGATTCAAGAAAAAAATCATTTCTACCAATAATCTATACATTATTTCCGTGTGTGTACGATCCTCTAGTGGAATGGTTGCCACATGTCCACTCATCGCGAAAGAACAAGCGACCATTTGCTTTGCAACACTTCGAGCTCGAACAACTTTTGTTGGGTTATCTTCATTTTGGAAGACCCATACAGTCGACTGCTGTTTTGTTTCTGGCTCATACGCATAGATCCATGATTCGTCACCTGTCACGATTTTATACACTAAATTTGATGCACCTCGATTGAATTTATTGAGCATTTCTTTACACCAATTCACACGAGCAATTTTTTGCTCATCGGCCAATTTATGTGGGATCCAACGCGAGCAAATTTTTTTTACGGCCAAATTTTCATGTAAAATCGTGTATATGCTTTTAACGGAAATGCCCAATGATGCCTCATTCTCACGGTATGTCACATGACGATCTTCCATTATCATGTTTCTGACAGCATCGATGTTTTGTGGAACAACAACTGATTTTGGACGACCTTCATGGGGATCGTCTTTGAGCGAACGACGGCCACGATTGAATTCAGTAAACCAGCGATATACAGTGGCCTTGGATGGAGCTTCATCACCAAAAGTTGAATGGATTTCATCGACGCACTGTTGTTGAGATAATCCTCGTCGAAAGTTATAAAAAATTATAGCACGGAAATTTTCACGTGATAATTCCATTTTTTTGTTGAGACGCAATTTAGATGTTACTGTAAACAATACAAATAGCGATCGTATGACAAAACGTTCTGAGGATGTTTATGCTACAAAATGTCAATCTTAACGAATATGACAATGGTTTGCATCTAGCAACGTCAGTGTTGCCAAATCTCAATATATAAGTAACAGCCCTCGTATTTCTCATAGGCACATATTCAACGCCATTTATTTATTATTATCCACGTTGTAATGCCTTTTTGTTAAACTACTTTTTTTGATGCAGTCTATATTATTAATATTTTATTATATTTTCTAGTGGGAGCTCGAAAAGTTGACACGTTTGGAAGAAGTTGGTCGTGTTCGACATTTGCTACAATTGCGTGAACGGCTTGGTCTAGGTAAACATATGTATTGATAATTAATTTAACACTTCTTTCTCTAAAGAAATCAGTTAATCGAGCAGTTATTTTTAAACCGAAATCGCTAAATATTTTTCATCCGTGTGAAATGTGAAAATTCCGAAATCTAATGTCAATTGTCAAATATTAAGTTATGGAAACAAAGCATCATATACAGATTATCTCTCTCGTAAAAATTCGTCTATATATTTCTATTCGAAATTTGATATATTTTGAGACCTTGAAAATTTACAGAAAATTGTATTTTGGAAGTTTCACGTCACTACAACACTCAAACAGACAGATATACAATGTACTAATATAAAATAATAATAATACCTGCACCGAACAGCGTTCCTTCGCCTTGGTGGTTTATTTAAATAAATACAATATAATTAAATATTTTCCATCAAGCAGTTTTGAAAGAGATAAATAGAGATACATTTTAACTAATAATTCAATTCTCAGTTTTACTGTTGATAAATTTATCTCTCAATTGACAGCCTGATAGTAAGACCAACACTTAATTTTCTTATGCGTGAAAATAGCACGTATTTTTGTTTGGAGTAAAACAATACCACATACTATAATCGAGCGCAAAAATTCGACACACAAAGTTGAGAGCAAAACCACGACATACCCAACATCCGAGCAAAAGTAAATAAGCGATATGTGGTGTTTTTGCTCTCAAGTTTGTCTATAGTTCTTTTGCTCGCAACAATCGGAATTTTGTTTTTACGCCGACAAAATAATTTCGAATTATGGCATTGATAAAAATAGATATGATGGCTTTATCTAACCAGCAGGAAGTGTGAATAAAATTTTCCGATCTCACCTAAATTCCGAAAAATAAGTTTATGAAAAAAGGGGAGCCCCATGATTTTTTCGATTCACAAAAATTTGGTTCACAATGCCAAAATACTTTAGAATTGATGTTTGTTTATTCTCTATTAAATATATCTTAGATACAAATCCAAATCCAACAACAAAAACTGAAAAAGATGTCTGTAATCTGGCTGCTAGAGCATCAACCTCCCCAGTTCATATGGTTATTCCACCATCTCCACAAACACCAATTCAAGAAGGGAATATTTGTGAGTATGAATTCAAGAGTCCTTTCAAGAGTGGTTTATTTATAACAAAAATTGACAAAACATGATTTGAATGGGTCAGAATAAAAATCCGACTCGTACGCAGAGTCTATAAAAGTGGAACACAGAATTTTTGTTTACGTAGAATTGTTATTATTAATAATAATTTACTATTGTTATTGTTATATAACAATCAGGTATATATTATTATTGTTGGGATTGTTGACCTATCCGGATCTGAAGTCAGAATGAAGAACTTTTCAAAACTTACCACTAGATGGCATTTCATTTGCAAAAATGATCATGACTTCTTTTTACACCATTCAAAATTCAAAAAATTACATAGTTGTGAAAAACTTAGCGTTTGTAGGGGAAATTAGTTAATTTTTCGGCGGACTAAAATATTTTTTGAATTCCACTTGCTTAAGCATCGATACATCAAGCATTATTTCCAAGTACTTTGGAACAGTGTATCCTTAGTTTAAAAACATTTTGATTTCAGAGATTATATGTTACAATTTTGATGTAACACAATGATTTTCTAAGAAAGTTTTTCTTTCTTAACAGCAAGCATTTTAAATGATCGCGAGTATACTTTTCGAGAGCAGGCACTTCTTAAAAGGTGTATTAGCTTAATACAAGGATGTATTGGAAGTTCCGGGAATATTGCTTCTAAAGAGATAACACAACCCTCAAACATGCATGTAGATGCCTCTCCATCTGGTGATGAAGGATGCGCTGATATGAATATGAGCTATCTATCAAGCAATTCAATTGAGCTGTGTTCACCTGAGAAAATTGATGTTCCTAACGGTTGGGAGGCACCAGCACCTCCTATTCAACCTCTCCTGCAACCGCTTAGATTATATGTACCCGAATTGGAAGAAATAAGAATCAGTCCTGTTGTGGCTCGCAAAGGTAACAATTCATCTAATTTTGAAAAAAAAAAAAAATAACAATATTTTACCATCAGGTTATCTCAATGTATTGGAGCATGGAGGATCTGGTTGGAAAAAGCGTTGGGTGGTATGATTCATTTTATTTTGAAAAACTTAATAAATTATATTTGAGTAAAAACTTTCTTTGAATAGATCACGCTTGATCATAAGGTCAACGATTAAAACTTATAAGTTCCAAAAAATATATGAATTTATCTATTTTTTATTTATTTATCCATTTATTTGTATAATTTTATATATATTAGCACATTAGAGTTTATCCATAACTCTAATTTTAAATAATTTGAATTATTTAGAAAACGTTCCTTTTAAATAGTTTTCACTTCTTTTCAGCTTCTTCTTTAATATCTGTACTTGAGATATTGATTATTTTCAATAGCCTAACTACACACACCCAAACCATTAGTAGTGAGATTGTTTAAATGTATTGGTGTATTGCAAATTTACCAATAGTTGTTAAAATATCTATAGATATTATATAGATAAATATCTATATCTATCAATATATTGGTGTTTTCATACAATCGTCACTATAACAGCATAATTGACACTTGTTTTGGCTCGATGGACCAAATGTCAACTGCACTGTTTTGTGAGGATTTTTTATAGATATTTTAACAACTATTGGTAAATTTGCAATATACCCTTGTGGAAATATTTCGACTTCATATTGAATTTATTCGACACGACTATAAATTGACTAATTTGGAACAAAAATGGCTGATATTTCAGCCAGCTAAAGTTAAGTATAAGTGACTATATGCGTCTTCATGTAACTTGAGTTGAGAAATGTCGATTGTGATCATAGTTAACTACGGTTAACTATAAGCATATGAAATTGACTTTTGTCAACTATGTTGACTATAATCACTATTAGTTAACTCTGAAACATAACCGACTATATTCGATTTCAATCATCTATTGGTAATTTTGACCGAATAAATGCGATTAAAATTGACTTAATTTATAGTCAGTCAGTCATTTTTTTTAAACTCAATTATATATTTTATGATGTATTCTACTAATTTGAGTGTTTTTAATGAGAACATTTGATATTTGGTTGACAATATCGTGAAAATCTACGGCAAGTGTACTTACATTTGAATTGATCGCAAAATATATGTCAAAATTGGATTTCTTGTACCAAAAAACCCTCAATACCAATTTTTACAATAATCGATTAAAAGACACGGCATTTCCGAGAATAGCGAAACTTAACATAAAAAAAATTATGAAGACATGAGCTATCCGAGCAAATCGATTATTACCATTGCATTCCTTGACCCCGAATTAAGTAAGAATGACTAGTCCAGTCTTTGTCGTTTTTAAGAGTTCCAAAAAATTATACAGTGAAGCTTTTGTCTTACGTAAAATGTTCTGCAATAGAATTTTTTTTTCAGAAATTATAAAAACGCGCTATCAAGTATCTTTTTTTAACACAAACATATTCGTAAAAAAATATTTAATATATATGATTGCCCGAGAATGAAAGCGAGACTTCTATTCACAACTTATTGAAATGTAACACCACATTACAAAATATGCTGACAGTCAGCACTTTTTGTATGACGGTGTCACACCAATAAGTTCTGAATAGAAGTCTCGCTTTCATTCTCGTTCATTCATATATAAACTGCATAACATATTTTTTTCCAGACCGTGCGGAGACCCTATGTATTAATATTTAAATCGGAAAAAGATCCAGTTGAACGAGCGGTCCTAAATTTGGCAACAGCCCAAGTAGAATGCAGCGAAGATCAAGCAGCAATGGTCAAAATTCCGAATACATTTAGGTTCGGGTGTGGTGTTGAATGAATTTATAACCTAATTATAATAAATAATATGGCAAAGGTAACAAAAACAAATATTTTATAATTACAGTGTTGTAACGAAACATAGAGGCTACTTATTACAAACTCTTGGAGATAAAGAAGTTCATGACTGGCTGTATGCCATTAATCCACTTTTAGCAGGTCAAATTCGGTGAGTGCAGTAATTTTTTACAACATCTAAGTAAAGTTATCACCTAATCATATTTCAAGAGAAAAGTTTGCATTATACTTTTATGTAATTTATCATATATTTGTAATTTTTTCATATCATGACATATATTCGATTAACATTTACTGTCAAATAGTTCAGGGGCGCAAGCTTCTACAAACCACAAATCCATGAAATCCATTATCAAAGTCAATCAATAATCCTACGGTCTTATAAGTTCGCATAAAATATAAATATTCAGAAAAATATCACATTGTAAAAAAATACGCGACGCATCCGATTGAAAAAGATTGTTGAAAATCATAAATACACGAACTTCATGCAATCAAAGCGCGCTCGTTCGGTCTTGTATTCCATTCTAAGCACTCTCTCCCATTTTTATTTCAATTCGATTTGATGTAGGATTCGGAAAACAGTTCACGCTTCTTTTAAGGAAAATTCACTAAAACTTCATCAGACTTAGTTCATGAGAAATCTTAACCACAGTTAAAGAACTTTGGAAAAATTGAGCAATTTGGTATAGAATTGTCGAAATGTCTTCCGGAAAAAAATTCGGGAAAAAGTTTTTTCGGGAAATTGTCTTTCGGGAAAATATCCTTTTCGGGAAAAGGCCTATTTTGCCATTTCGGGAAAATGTATTTCGGGAAATATGTTTCGGGAATTAGTGCGGTCACCGCAAATCAAGCGTCATCTCTCTCATTTTTTCCAGTATCTCAGCCAAATTAAATTAAAACAAATATGGGATAAAGTGCTTAAAATGGAATACAACACCGAATAACGAGCGAGCACGCGAGAAGGTCTTCTATTTCCTTCTAAGCACTCTCTCCCATTTTTTGCGAAGTTGAATAAAAATTGGAAAAAGAGCTTAGAACCAAGTTATATTAATTAAATAAAAAATGGGAGAGACCGAAATTCTAAAAAAAAATTCCGCTTTTTGGAATTTCTGCTTTCTTCTGCATTTTGTCCTGTCACCTCAACAAATTCATAGAAAAATCAATATTCAATATAAATCACAAATATGTCTTCAATTGTTTTGTTTAGCTTGTAAACAAACTGGTATTTTTTAAGATTTGATCTTTGAATAGACATTTTACATTAAATACTTTTGTAAATTTATATATTATTTGCAAAAACGTCCAAAATTAGTTAAATGACTAGTCAGTCAGTAATTTTTCACACAGGAAGCTGGTCTGACAATTACTATTTGTTTTATAATTGTTATATAATAAATTTTATATTTAATATTTAATTTCAATGAGCGCTAATATCGTAGATTTTTCTTTATCGATTCCATCAATACGACATCTACTAAAAAAACTCGTCGATTTCTGTTACTAGTGGTGTTTTAATACAGCTCGTGTTAACGTACAAAGGAACACACTGATTCCGATTCTGTGTATGTATTACAAATTCTGCACTCAGTCGTCAATCGTAGCTGCTTGTGCAAAATTTACAATACATACGCATACACAGGATCGGAGTCTGTGTGTTCTTTTGTATTAGTTCGTCTGTAATATAGCCATAGCCGTGTAGTTCGCTCGAGCTGTGTCAAAGCAACAGTAGTAACAAAAATCGGTATCTTTTTTAATAGATGTCGTATTCGTAGAATCGATAAAATTAATTTGTATGGGGAATATACGATACTAGTTCCCATCGATTAATTTGAATAATATTTAATAAATAATTTATATTTATATTCAATAATAGGTCACGTCTAGCACGGAAAAATAACGAAATACAACAGCAACAAGCATTGCCATCTCACTTAATTACTAAATGAAATTCGACAATTTTATTATATTAATATTATTATTGTCTATGCATTCTTTTACTATGAGAGTATATTGTAATTGCAACCTTGAATTATTACATACAATAACGCTATTTTGCTTCATACTTGAGTAAACCTTATGTAACCAATATGTTGAAAAAATCTACTCATCAAGTCTACTTTACATGCTTTATAAATAAAAAATTCAAAATAGCACAAACCTACTACTTTTAACAATGTTTTAGTTATAGCTAATAAAGAAATTAGTACATGCTTTGCTTCTTTATAAAATTATTATATATACTTTGAAACAAGAATACTTATCCTTAATCATAGAAAAAACGTGAAAGCAAATTCTTCGGTAGATGGTAGGTATCCGCCGTTTATCATTTTCATCCAAACAAGCAAATCGATTACAACTAAATTGAGCTGTATGCGCAACATTATTCTTAGGCTAATCTACTGAATGGATTGAAGTTTTGTGTCTGTGTCTGTTTACTTGTGTTCATCTCGTACAAAATTTGTCTCAGCACGCCTAAAATGACTCGAACTTAACGTGCACAAATAAATCTTCTGCTATCCGTATACCTACTACTAATCACCCCAAAATTTTGAAATCGCTAAAATTCGTTTCTCTATGCGTTTTGCGTTCAGAGAATAATTGAGCGACGATTTTTGACCATGTTTATGTATGGGATGTGGTACATCGAGGGAAACCGAAAATTTCTCTAGCAAATCAGACAAATTTTCGTTTTTTCTTTTTGGAAGACACTTTGTGAGGCGAAAATCCCTAGCAAATTCGAATAATTTTCGCTAAAACCAACCCCCTCCCCCTTCGCACATTACTGCTGTACACTGTACGTAATTTTCTTTTACCTTTTTGTTAGCAGGATAACTCATCATAGAGAAAAGTAAAACCAAATCTGACTTTGCAGGGTGATTTATGGTTCCGAGGAATAGGCGAGCGATATTCGTTCTCGAGCGATATTCGTTCATCGGTGTTTCCATGGTGTCCCTATAGCATGCAATTTTTTTAGCTCTACACCGTAAGAAAATATCAGCCGACGCTATACGCAAAACCGACTGGTACGCGCGTATCTTCGCACAGTCGAAAAATCGTATGGTCACTAGATGTAAAAGATGTAAAAACGTATGAGTGCACGTACCAGTCGGTTTTGCGTATAGCGTCAGCTGATATTTTCTTACTGTGTATGACTCTTTCGTTAGAGACGTAAATCAAAGTTTGGGATGTATAATGAGGGTTTTTTAGCACGAGATAAAAGAATCCGACGTTAGTTTTGAGATAAAATCAATTTTTGATACATTTTTCATATTAAAATTTAAAAAAAATTGAATTTTTGTATGAGAGGTATGCCTGTATGATATGACCTGAAACTTATGGAAAAAAATTATGGGACGTACCTTTATTTAAATATCTTCAAATTTGGTTAGATTGTCAATTACACTCATTTGACCGTTAATCACAGCAAAACATTCAAAGACCCGAAATAGGCGCATGCACGAACACGATTGAAGGATTATGGAGACACGCAAAATACCGGATTCCCCATTACCGTCGACAAAATAAATTATTCACTAGCAAAATTTATGTTTTTATCGAAAGTATATAATAATAATAATAAATTTGAAATAATTATCGCTAAAAATATTTTGTTTATCGATTGTGTTGACAAATCGTAACGGAATCAAATTTCTAATGCGCAATAAACAACATGAGATGCGTGCGCCACACAGATATGATGGTATTTAATTTTAAGACTAAATATCCATTCTATATTCATCGGTGGAAGGCAAATACTCTTTTTACATTCAATTTCACTGAGGAATAACTGAACCAAATTTTTTTTTATAAAATAAAAAATCTAAAATCGCACCACAGATAAAACATGACCAGACTCCCAACTACTCATAACATACAAAAAAGAAACAAAACATCGCTCCAATTAATGTGTCCCTAAACTTAAGTTATGCCCGGACTGTTCATGGCGAGTATCACTTGCGTTGTATATTGACAATGTATTTGAACGCGACTCGATTTAAGAAGCGCCATCTCTTTCACGCCAGGTTCTAATATATTTTTTTCTTGCAAATAAAATTGCAAAATTGTATAAATTGAATAAGTTTTGCAATAATAATAACGAAAATAATTAATAGAATTCATAATAAATAAAAAAAATTGAAAAAAACACACAAATATTTTATATTATATGATATGTAGCTTTGCCTTGTAGACTTTGCCTTGTAGACCATGTAGAGATGGTTACGTGGAGAAAATATGTATTTGTCAAACATTGATATCTGTCAAAAGAAACAACGTAAACAACACGAAGTGAAGCTATTCTGGTGAATCATATAATATAAAATATTTGTGTGTTTTTTCAATTTTTTTATTTATTATAAATTCTATTAATTATTTTCGTTAATATTATTGCAAAACTTATTCAATTTATACAATTTTGCAAGAAAAAAATATTTGCAAGAAAAAAATATATGAGAACCTGGCGTGAAAGAGATTGCGCTCCTTAAATCGAGTCGCGTTGAAAGACGACTGTAAGTGATACTCGGTTCACGGACTGTCCACTAGGGTGTTTCCACATGGAAAATATTAAAAAGTGGCTAGCATCATTTTGAAGAGCGTAAAATTCTGTATAAGATCATTTGGTTTTCGATGCTGCTTGGTCGCCGATGTCACTTCCTGGACTAAAAACATATTTGTAAATTGATTTCATGTCACATTCACGCCAGAATCTGTAATTAATGAAATTTTAATATTGCACAAAATTAAAAACATGAAAAATAATTTTAATATTTAAAAAGTAACACAAAAACTAACAATTTTACCACAATAAACCAAAACAATGCAAAATCGCCAATTCATTTGACACATAACCTGTAATTTGTCATGTGTGAGCGAATCACGCTTCAAATGTCATTCTGTCAAATGAATTGTCGAATTTGCATTGTTTTGGTTTATTGTGGTAAAATTGTGAGTTTTTGTGTTACTTTTATTAATATTTAGGCAATTATTTTGATATTAAAATTATTTTTCATGTTTTTAATTTTGTTCAATCTTATATTTTCATCAATTACAGATTTTGGCGTGAATGCGACATGAAATCAATTTACAGATGTGTTTTTAGTCCAGGAAGTGACATCGGCAACAAATCAGTATCAAAAATCAAATCATCTTATACAGAATTTAACGCTCTTCAAAATGATAATAGCCACTTTTCAATATTTTTCATGTGGAAACACCCTACTGTCCACGGTCCATTTTGACGGACGGACGGACGGACACCATAAGAATTTGATCGGACATTAAACAGACTGATATGTTGGACGGACGGACATGTCCGGACAATTCATGGATATGGATATAAATGAGTAGACAGTGATTCGAATATAAAAATGGACGGACAATGTATGAAAGGCAGTGGACTTTGAATCATTCATACGGACAGTCATGTGTGGATTCCTTAAAGAATGCATTGTGAGGCATACGTACAAAGCAAGCGTTCACAAATGCCAGCATTGATACAGCACATCACTATAGTGCTTCGTATCTTCGTCAGCGCACGAAGTGCTCCAAACGCACAACGAAGGCACTAGCGATGCAATGCTTAAGCATCATTTGATGCGCTGTATCAATGCTGACATTTGTGAACGCTTGGTACAAAGAGACAAAGAGACAAACAGATATAAATATATTTGTGCATATTTGCCATAAAATATAAATATGCGATATTCAGAATATATATTAAAATTACATTAGACACGCTTACCAGGAGCGTGTCTAATGGAATGTTGACATTTTTTACATGGGATACTCAATGAGATATATTTCGAGTATCGCCTATTTATAATACAGAGTAATGAAACGACAACAACTATAACATGTATTTTTTGTTGACAAAATTTCCACTCTAGATCGCCACGACATTGGTGTTTGTAGTTCGAACAACATCATCTAGTAGGCCGAAATTTGCATGGATATATAGAATCGAAAGTACGTACAAAAAGAATGCGTAAAACCATCATAATGTACCCGACTTACTTTCAAACAACCACCACCAGTGTCATGACAATCTAACTTGTCAGAATGGGTTTCACTATTCTGCTATAATAGGGTGGATCGATTTCTTATTAGATTGATTTCAACCAGAGCTGTCAACGAACGTTCGTTCGTTCGTTCGTAGGCAAAAAATATTTTTATTTTGTTCGTTCGTTCGTTCGTAGAAATGAATTGCGTTCGTTCGTAGAAAATAAAATGTTCGGATTGTTCGTTCGTTGTTCGTTCGTTCGTTCGTTTGTTTGTTCGTTCGTTGTTCGTAGGAAAAGTATGAAAATAAAACAATTATTTTATTAGTGAAATCGAAAGTAGATTATATTTTGTGAATTTTGGTATTGATAACATAAATTATAGGAAAAAATTGAACAAAACAAATATTATTTACTTAAAATAAACAACGTAATAGTCAATATAATAATTGAATTTGCATTGTTAAAAATCGATAAATTTATTACGATTTATTGAAATACTATTTTATTTAAAAAAATCCAAAAACATAAAATACAATAATAATATTAAATTGTTCATGAGATTCAAACCAAATTTGCTGTTAGCAAGTAACATTAGTAATCGATTTTGTGATTTTTTTTCCGAAATAATAATTCGATAAATCATAATAAAATTATCGACTATAGAAAATATACATTCTTTTACCTATAGTTGGATAGAATTTTATTCTTGAATAGTTGGAAAAAGTCCTCAATTTGAATATTACAATAATAGTTGAAATTATTTGCTTCAATTCATTTTATTAGTTGTCATCGATATTACGGAACAGACTATTTAAATATTCATGATTAAAATTGATTCTTTTCGGATTTTTTATTAAAAAGTTTATGCAACTCATACGTCCCTTTAAAATGCAAATTTAATTACTATATTGATTATTACGCTGTTTATTTTAAATAAATAATATTTGTTTTGTTCAATTTTTTTTTGTTCTCGCTTCGCTCGCTACGGCACGCTCGCTCCGCTCGCTCGGCAAGGCATGTGTTATTATAATTCCTATCTCTGAAATTACTATCTCTATAGATTTTGACTTTATTAAATTTTGTTCATTCAATATTAATATCAATTTTAAGTCATGGACCATGTTGTCCGACCTCAATAGCCGTATTAAATTTTGTTAGACCA